TGCAATGATCGATCAACCCGAATTGGCGTTCATTAAATTTTTTCTTCATTGACCATATAAGATAAAAATTTATCCATTCGTTGTTAGATGAATTTATTAAACGTGATGACTGATGAGTTGAACGAGTGGAGAGTTTTGAAACTAAAATTATACGCTAAATTCCCATTTCTCTTCAAATTAATTATGCCAAAACTTATGAAATTAAGAGACCGCAAAACTTTGACGGAAAATTTGTTCCCTCTGTTGATTCAAACTTGCGGAGAACATAATTAGGTGACACGTCGTTCAAATACCTCGGCAAAAGTTCAAACTTTGGGCTTTTTGGCCGACGAAAAGTTGTGTAATAGGAGTTGTTTCGGAGTACGTTTGCAATTTGATACGATTCGCTCAGGTCTTCCTTCGTGCTTTGAAACGCAAGTCGCGGCCCGGCTGTTCGCTCGTGTTGCTCTCTCTGCCCAAAATTGTGCTATACTTGTTAACCGCCCTCTCGCAACTCCACAAAGGGTTGCTTTTTCGTGTTCGCTCGCTCTTTTGTTGCGCTCAATAACGAACGGACCTGCTCTCGTGATGAAAATGTCATTCCGACCCTTTCACTTGTCGTCGCGATTTAATTATTCCTCTTCTTCTTCAGCTCCGCTGCTCGAGGTGCCGCGCTGCTTTTCTCATCTCGGTCGGTCGGTCGGGCCCTTGAGAAATTTCATTAGTACCGCCGCCTGCTTGCCTGCCAGTCTTCTCACGGACGGCTATTTTTGAATTAGGGGTTTGCTTGACGCCTAAAAATAGCTCACGGAAGTGGAAACAATACAAACCGTCTCCAGGTACGCTCTTTTTTAATTAAAAGAGGCGGACTTATTACGAGATGAGAGAAAAGGTCAGGTGACGACATTTTCTTTTGAGAGCCGAGCAAAAGTAATTACGCCGCTTCGGATGTTAAAAAATTGATGATCCCTTTTCTCTTAAATTGGTAGAGGAAGAAAATGGCAAATTCCTTGAGAAGATTCATTCGCACCAAGAACTTTTTTTATAAATATTGAAAATAACAAAATACTGCCTCTCTGTTTCCATTTATAATTCTATTTTTTTTCGTCACGTTCTTATAACATAACATAAAATAAAATATTGGAATAGGAATCTTTGATTATTGGGAAATCTGCACCACGACTATTGAGTTTTTTCTAATAATGTACATATATATTATTGTTAAATTTAAAAAATCTTAATGTCGTGTAATACTTAGATGAATAAAAAAAATGCATTTTTAACTCTTTTTTTCTAGTCATTATAATATAAAAATACAAATGTTTCTTCTCCCTCATTGTCAATCGTCTTCTTTTTTTACTTTCATTAATTTGAATCATTTGCAAGGTGAATGGCGCGAGTGATTCGGAGGAGTGGTGGACGTGCGGGATTGCATGCCCGCTGTGCCCTGCAGGGGCCTCGTCGCCCGAGAGCGAAATCGCAGCGGGCGCTTTCTTTACCAAAGCAAACACGTTCTTTCCTCCACACTCGCCCACGCAAATAAATAGAATTCGACGGAAAATCGTATATTTTGCAGTACATGAGAGAAAACTCTGTCGTCTTATTTTTTTATCCTTTTTCCAGGCTGACGAAAATTGGCGGTAGTAATAAATTGAGTTACCGCTCGCAAAACTTCTCTTCCCTCTGAAATTCTGCGAGTAGAGCCGCCGCTATCTGTCTATCTATCTATCCGTCAGTCAATATAAGATGAAGACGAATACGAAGAAAAACGTATATACTCGCCGGCAGCTGCACAAAAGGCGCACCAGGCGGATTGCATGGCATTATTTCGAGCTGCGCCGAAAACATCCTGCCGAAAGATTGATTGTTATTTTTTCGTCCCTTTCGCGGTGGGTTACGTTTTTTTCGCCGTCCTACAACAACTTGCTTTCCTTCGATCCGGCACTTTGTATTCCACCTCGGAGGAAAGCGATCTTTAGTCAGCCCCGACGGCTTTTTCTCCTCGGCCCCGATCCATGAGTAATGAGAAACATTATTGTGCCATTTCTCTTCGCCCGGCCCCGTGTCAGCTGCAATCGTGTGCGACGCTAAATTGCAATTTGGCCGGTGAAAAAGATTCCCAGCAGGTCTCTGAAAAATGCCGTATGCATTCGCGATGCACTCCGGAGGTGGTAGATTGTGTTTCGCCACCCCTCCGACTTGTTCTCCCTTTTTGAGGGCGCGCGAAATGTAAACAACAATGAGTTTTCGCTGCCGGTGCTCTCGCTGATGGAATAATGTATAAGGAGAAGATTGCGAAAGAAGATTTTTGGTCTGGTGCAGGCTGAGAACGAGGGCGAAAATCAATTTTCCCTCCTCAGCCGAGTATAGGGGGTGCGAAATTTGCAAGAGGGCTTGTTGAGAGCGCGCAGTTGATTGCTCGCACGGAAATGGGCAAAGTGTGCGAGAGACAAGAGAATTCAGCCAAAGAGAAAAAGTACAAGATTCCTTTCAAATATAATTTGATTTAAATGTTTACTTATCTTCTTTTCTTTTCTTCTTCAACTAATCACTTATTATGAAGTTGAAGTTGAAAATTAACTTAAAATTGGTTTTTTCCGTGCTTGAAATTTGAGGGCTTTTTTGTATTAAAATACGAGATAAAAGGAAAATGATGCAACTGAATAAAGAAAGTCAGTCAATTTTTAGAAGGTGTTTAGAATGATTTAGATTTTAAGCCAACAAGATTAATTTAAATTATTAAATATTCAAGTGGTGCAACAAATTTTTAGGAAAGAAAAATAAAAAATTGATCTACAGAACCATTGAAACGGGATTTACAAAAATTATTTGAAAACATTTGGAAATATAACGAAAAGACTTTTATTCCCTAAAAAAAAGGCTCTGAACACACATAAAACAACGAAGTTTTTTAATTCAACATTTTTATGAATTGATAAACGGAAGTTTCCGAAAAAAAAAATAGCAATTTTCGCGGGCAAATTTTAGAATTTGTGATGAAAGCGAAGAGTTATTTCTCTGGATAATAATAAAAGCTCTGCGAAATCCAAAAGCAAGTTCCTCATCCGCTCAAATTTTCCACCAGCTGTTGTATAATCTTGATGGATTTAAGCACAATCTCTTCTGCATTTTTTATGACCTGGAAAGTTTGGCGCGGCTCTGCGAATTAAGGCTGGGAATTTCAGCAAACAAACAACACGCCCCGCATCAATCTTTCCATCCTCTCGGTAATACCAAGACACAACGTAAGGCTCATCTCCATTTATCTGCCAATCAATAATCGTTCGCTCGCACACCCTATCCTTCCCTCCATTAAAAGCAATTTCCATTTGGCTCGCTCAGTGGAAAAGCAAGGTAATTGCCCGAAGCCCATTAAAATAATAAAAAGAGCAAACAAGCTTGTTCACGTCGAGTTGCTGCTGCGGGCAATCAAAGCACAAAATTGCATAATAAACCGGGCAGGGCCGCTCTCCCTATCCCGGTCCGCAATGACTTTATCTGCCAAGTGCACCTTTACGGCCACGATTGGAAGATTGGAACGGTCAGAGAAAGGGCCCCTGGTGTATAATGATATTGCCGTGGTAATTATAATGAGAGGGCCGCTTTCACCACTTTATTACGACATGCATGGCGGACGAAGGGACCTTTTTGCGCAGGGAACCCGACACTCAAAAAGGGCACCTAAAATTCGCTGCAAGGCGAAGGGTCCGAGACAAAGAAAACGCTGCCCACTGACCAGGATTTCTCTCTCGCAGGCCTTTTGTTTGTTGAGTTATTACCGTGGCTCTGATTTTGCCTTCTCCCTCTTTTTATTTTCCAGTGATTTGGAAGCTCTTGCTTTGGGCAATTCAACATTTTCCTCATAAGCCGGAAATTTCGCTGAATATTTTTAATATCTTTTTGCTTCTTCGTTGAACATAAGAAATTTTATTTTTAATTCCATGTATTTTCCGTATTTTCCTTGGTTGTTTCAAAAGAAAAAAGTTTTACAATCAAACCCGAAAACAGTTTAGCTTTATATATAAAATGATCGTACCAGAGAGTTTGCTAAAACTCCTGTCAGATTTTCTTACGAAGCACTTTGGAGTTTCCTGTGCTTAAGATTCCTTTTAAGAAATTCATCTTTTCGTAAGCCATGTTTGAAAATTCATGTGTAAATTCTGTCCATAATAGTTGCATCTTTAATTAACATAATCTACAGATATATGGGAAATTTTCTCATCTTGGCTAATATAAAAAAATTAATTATTTAAAGTTTTAGATATAAAATCCATTATAATCTATATTTAGTTGCCTCACAATCCGCTGGAAATTTAACATTAATCTATCATCTTAATCCACTTAAATAAACAAAACGTCCTGTCGCAGAAGTATGAAATTTTGTGCGGTACGGTTTAAATTTTTTTCTATTTGAAAGAAAATTTATTTTATTCATTTTCATTTTAATAAGAACGAATAAAGACAAAAAGTACATTTTTCGGTAATTTTAAAAAAAATATAAATGTCATATCTTGTTGAACCTTTTTTTGTCATCTTAAATCATGAAACTAGCAATTTTTAAATTTTAAAATGTAAAATATCCTATTGATTTTAATTTTCTTTTCTCTTGGAATCACACCATAAACCATGAACTTTTTTTTTTTATTTTTTTTTTTAAATAATAAAACAAAAATTTAGATGGCGCTTTTTTTAACCGTTTTCAAGAAATTTCTCTAAAATTTTTGTATTGAACAACAAAAAGATTTACGTTATCAACAGCCATTTACCCGAAAAATTCATAAAATGTACTTGCGTGTCAATAAAATTCGACCTTTCGTATTCCTCGACCCAAGGTTGAGCAGGCCGTATAAAAAAAGCAAACGACTGGGGTTGACACAAGTCCTGTGGAGTGCTCTGCACACGACATCTTTCCTCCTTCATTAGCATGCATAGTTGACCGCCGTTTGTACACACATTCATTTTCTCTGCGGATATGAATGTGTATGCAGTTGATTTCACGTTTGTGTGTTTTCTGTTTGCAGGCAACACTCTGCAGCGGGACGCGAGCAAACACAAAGACGGCAGCACCAACTCGGCCAATGCCCTCGATGCATCCAGATTGCTGCCGCATTTCGACAAGGCTGCCTCGAAGAACGTGACCTCGCTTTTGGGCAAGACCGCCTATCTCAACTGCAAAGTCAAGAACCTCGGCAACAAAACCGTGAGTTTAATTCCACCGCCCTTTAGGCTGATATGCATAATGCAGACCCATTCTCGCCGCTCGGGGATGAAAATTGCCTCGTTCCAGGCCACGGTTGAGAACCCCCGTTAAAAAGGCTTTGAATAGTTTTCACAGACATTGCTTCTAAAAGGACGAAACTTGCCATAAAATTATTTGAGTGGTAACTATGAAAAATTAGGCAGATGTAAATTGTAATTATTTTTAAATGAAATTAACGTTTCTCTTATATGTATTTGAGTCTCTGAAACAGATCATATTATTTAAAGACTTTTTAAAATAATACTTCTATATTTTTAATTTTTAAAAAGTTTAATATTATTTTATCATCTTTTCCTTGTAAGATCAAATTATTTAACTATGTTTGTCAAGTTGAAACTCCAGTACCCCTTTCCAAGTTTTGCTGTATTGTGTTGTCCGTTGGGTGTTAGGTTAAAAAAAAAAATAACAACCTCTCGCTGGTTATTGTTTTTTTCCTGAAACTAAACACCAGCCGTAAAACGCAATAAGTATCAAATAACTCAGGAGGAAAAGCAGATTAAAATACGAAAAGCAACTCTATTTTTTTTTTCAATTTCAAATTGTAAGTTAAAAATCTAAAGCTTCAATTTTAAATATAAAGAAATCTTTCCTTGCCATCTCTACTTCATTAAAATTTGTATCAATGTGATAAATTCTGTTTTAAAAAAATGTAGCAGTTTACAAATAGTACAAATTCAATTATTACTTAAAATTAAAATAGAATTTATGTGAGAAGATGGATCAAATGAAAAAGGGACCTTGATCAATGGTATGCATTCGAATCATCAGGATAAATGTAGCTCGGTTCCTAAATTTATAGTATTTTGATGCACAATTCTTGATTTACGGGCTTCACGTCAACGTCATAATTTGTGCTGCCGATCGTTTATTACACAGCGACGGAGAGTTATTAGGCCGTTCTGTGATTGGATTCGTGTCGAATCTCGACTTCATCGCTCGGATGCAATTTACGATAAATGTTTTTAGCGGCGCGACCAACAATTTTTTACGACCAGCGTCGAAAGCGAAAATAACACAAGGGAAATTCCATGGAGGCGGCAGATTATGTTTGAAAACGCTCGCGGCTCACAATCGGCTAATAAATGAAGAGTAATATTTTATTTTCCACACACACACGTGCACAGAGAAAAAAACGCCATTTGTAATTTTTTCATTGTCAGCTCCAGTCACGCCAGCATTAATCCCCAAGAAAAAAAATCATGCTCCCCATTCACGGCGACGCAGCTAATTTTTCACTAGCTTTATGCGCTCAATAGTTAGAGAGCATTCAAGTGGCCTACTTCGACCTGCTTTTCCTCGCACCACAGCACAATAGGGCGAATGTTGGATGTGCTTGATATACCAACAACGATGATGGATTTTGCGAACAACAGTGCTGTTTTGCAAACACCGAGCTTTACAGTTTCATGGACGAAACTTTTCACCTTTTTCTGTATTATTATTATTATTATTTTTACTAAAGCGTTTTAAAGTTTGCTCTTCATTAAAACATAAATTGCAAATGGGCAAGAATGTTATTGCTATGTATGTTTCCTTAATGATCTGTAATTAAGCCTTGCCTTAATTATTAAGGATATTCGTAAATTATTTTTAGCATTAGAAATTTCATTTAAAAATCATTGCTCAATGAGTTTACGCATTCAGGAGTATGAAATTTGAGTTTAATTAATATTCATTCCTTAATGAGAGCGTTTTGTAGGTTTACAAATCACATTTTCAAACTAGAGATAGATTAAATATTAGCTCAATAATTTTCACAATGAGTTGGTACCGGATATCTATAATTTTATTTGAAATAAAATTAATAAAAATTCATTGTGAAATATATTGATTATTTAAATTATATATCTTAATTCGTAAATAAATTAAATAATTTTCATAATTTTTTTTTTTAGTTTAAACATATACTTTTAAGTATATTTGTTATTAACTATGTTTTCAATTTAAATTACTTATTTATTTTTATCCATAACTGTCTGATCCAGCAAAATAAATGTAATTATTTAGTACTGCTATTTACTATGCAGTTTTCCATGAGTTATTTTCGCTCTGCCTTTACAACACGTTACATGCACAATTTGCAATCATCAAATTACCGTGTAGTCGGTGAACAGCTTGCCTTGCCGAGTAAAAGCACCGGGATCATTACACTGTACAATTGCCAACATCGAGTGCAGCAATTAAGCGCCATGGCAGCAAACGATTCCGAGAAAGGGAATTTGCAGCGAGTGGTGGATGCAAGCGCTCTCATGCACCACGCGAGATTTCTTTCCGTGCCCGTGGAGTGAGAAAAAAAACACACACCCCGAGTCATAAAAGGCCTTGCACGATTCCGCCGGCGAAAGCACGGAATGAATGTGGGTCATGCAGTGCACACATACAGAACCCGCAACCACTCACGGCTGGGAATAAAAAAATTTCGGCGAAGGATATTAAAGCTGCTGCTACCGGTGGCTCTTCTTCTTCCACTTTTTATTACCACGTACCGCGGCGGAAAGAGAGCGGAAAAGTGTAAATCGAGAGAGAGAGAAAAGCTCGAGCGGGTTGTTATTAATTTAAATCTTGTTTCGCGCCGTTGATGAGAACGTTGATTCTGGAAAAGCACGTTCCTTGCTGCCGAATTGCATTTCTGATGGCGCGGATTTTAATTATTCAAGTTTGATCGACGTCAGGGATGAATGAATAATAATTGAAGCTTGCTAAAGGAAATGGAGGGGGAATTACCTGCGAGTATGTGATTGAAAACGACGTTGATTAAAAAATTAAATTATTTATAGCTTTTTTGTAATAATTTAAAATTACATAAATCTCATGAATTGAACATTCTATTTTATTACACATAATTATTTTCAGAAAATATCTTTTTTTTTAATTGAATTTTTAATTAAGTAATAATAGCAAAATTTATAAGCTGCGTAACAAATTTTTTTATGATTTAAGACATTTTTAGTTTTTCAGCGCTCCTATTTTTATCGGTAGCGCTGTGAAAGACTGAAATTAGCGCACGGAGGACCTGCTTGCGCGCGTGTTTTGATTAAAATATTCTGTGCACTTCGCGAGTTTTCGAGCAATTAATTTGCCTGCTCGCCTTGAGGGATGTTTTAATTAAGTGTGCCGTCGCGCGCTACTGCCGCGATTAGCATTTTTACTTGATGAACAAGGTTGTTCTACATACACTTACCTTATTTCATACTCGGAAGACTCCCAATGTGTTTAATGTGAACTCGTTAAAAGTCAGTTAAGCATAATGTGCATGCAAGTTCCATATTATCGTATCCGCTGTTTCTGCAGTGTGCAGTTTCATTAGAGTTTTAATTTTAGACACAAACTAGGAATAAAATATGCAAGGGAATTTTTTTTAATGTTTTTAGTTTCGGACTTTTTTGTAAAATATCGGAAAATATTAATAAAATTCAGGCAATATTTGTGGTTCTTATTGTTAAATTAACTTTTCAACTTTCAAGGAAAATTTAAAAGCGATTTTTTTTTAAATGTTATTGTAATTTGTAGCGATTTTATCAAAAAAGATATATCCAATTAAATCTGGGAAATTTAGTCAAGCATTTGTTTAGGAATAATTTTCATTTAAATTTAAACTTTCTACCACATTTTTCCTGTAGCTATCTCATATTTATTTCTTGTAAATTCAATCACCTTGGTGGAATAAAATGCAAATTTGTATCGAATTGCTCGCAATCGATTTATAATAAAGTGCCACCCTCACCATTTCCGAAATGGAATCCACGCCGACCTTTTGTCAAAAGTGATCAGATCAGAAAATTGCCTACCCAAAGAGGGTTGAGCCCCGCAGCTCGTTCAGCCCGACAGCTTTTCTATTAAAACCCGCAACATCCCCCGCCACCGAAATTCATACATACTTTTATGCTCTCCGGCTTTTCACTTTGCTCTTCCATTTTCAGCGGATTTGCACTCCGCGCCTCAGCCTCACTTTCCTTTTGCTCATCCCGGCGACAAAACAGGGCAAAGTGCCGCAAAATCCATCTCGCGAGCGGACGCACACAAATTCAGCCGCGTAATATTCAAAAGCTGCTGCGAATTAGCATACCGCGAACGCCGAAGTGAAAATTTCCGCGAGATGAAGAAGGACGAACAAACTTTTGCTCCTGCTCTGATTCATAAATATTTAAAAACCATCTTTTCCAGCATAAATACAAGACTGATTTGCATGTGGCCTTGGTGTTAGTTGTTGCAAAAGAGAAACTTTCTCTTCCTGTGCGACAAAATAATATAGAATCAAGAAAATCCCAACTCTTGAGGATTCACACGCTGGTATATATTCTCGGAAAAGGAAAATGTATTTCAAACACTTAAATTTCGGAAAATTGCTCATAATAAAACTTCATTGATTTTATATCAAATCATTTGAAAATAACAACAGAAACAAAATTTGTTCAAAAAGTATATCGTTATCTCTTTAATGCTTATTCATAATTTTTTGATGATTTTCATTTTTTCTACTGAGCTGTTGTTTGACAACAATTGGTAAAAATATTTCACAATTTCAAGCAACATAATTTTAAAGAAGAAGAAATTATTGACGTTAGGACATTTATCAACGTCTTATTTTTTTAAACAAAAAAATATCCTTTTCATTTATGTTGCTTATTGAATAAAAAAATATTATAATAATTGGGACTTTTTTGCTTAATAACTTTAAATCTTTTCTTGGGAACAAATTAAGAATTATTTGTTATTGCGCCAGTCTATGATCCTGTATCATTTATATGACAAATAATCAAGAAACATTTAGCAATCTCAATATATTTTTGAAGGCTGTCAATTTTGCCTTCCAGAAGTTTTGTGTATTTAAATTTAGTTCGCAAATCACTCGATCGAAATCTCGCGATTCGTACCCACGCTCCCCACGGGTAGGCACACAATAAAATGCAACGCGATCCGAGGCAAGGGGAGGGTTTTGA